TTCAATCTTCCAAACTTTAGCTTACACTGTAACCATAAAATAACTGCCATTTATACAGCCAACTGTATTTACAAATTAAGTCATAGAACTATATAACCATTTGGCTCAGAAGGGGCTCCTGGAGGGTTTGTTATTTATTCCCCAGCAGCTTTCCACACAAATATCCCTTCACCACACCAGAAATGGTTTCCTCACAGAGATGAAGAACAATAGCTTCATAATGACATTATTAGCATGCTAGCTCAAACTTATCCCCAGTGCAGAACAGCAAGGTCTCTGTTATCTCTTCTTAAGGAGAGGTACTGGACGACCCGTACAGCCTCGGCTCCCACAAGTGCCTCTGCAGCAAAAACTCCCTGCAGCATAGTGCCTCCTAACAGCACACCAGCGCGCTGCTGACAGTCCCAGTTTCTAAATCATCAAACCATTTAATAAAGTAGCTTGCTCTTCCTAGCACATGACAAAAGTATGTGGCAGGGCTGCCTTTTACTTAACATCTGAAAACTTCATAGTCAGTAGAAAGCTGGCAGTAAGAATCTGCATTTACTGAACAGCACTTTTACAAAGCAGAAAGCTTGCTCTTTCAGGGCCTATTTCCTGCACAGTGAAAACACAGATACTTCATGGCTACAATATGGCCATCTCCTGAGAAGATTAAAGACAATTCTATCTGTTAAAGTAGGTAGGGATTTAACCATCCTCTAACCAGATGCCCCTATCTGCCTACCAAAAGCATAAAAAAGAAAAAAAGAAGCATAAAAATATTAGACTATATTAACATGTTGTCATTATGGAATCATTATTGTTTTACTTTATGCAGCTATGCAGAAGGTCAGTGTTACTGGCGGAGGTCACCTTTTCTAGACACTTTTTTTGTATACCACCCATTAAATGGTGCTAAGCCTAATAGCTTGTTTCAAGCATCATCTAACTGCTGGAATCAAAAAAGTTTTTTTTTAAATGATTCCTTTATGGTTTCCGTTCTGTTGTGGTTGCATAAAAATGGCATCCAAAACACTCAGAAGCAAGAAGGGTAAAATTGAATAACTAAACCCTTGTAATTTCTGGGATGTCACTTGTGATTTTTTTAAAGTTTTTTTTTTTTAAAACATGAGTTGACATCCTCTTCTACTCATTTTCACATAAAGCGTTAAGAAACACTAAAAAGACCAACACTTTTTCAAAAAGTTGCAACCAATCATGATCAAGCTAAAACATAACCATTAATTCTCTTAAGAGCCTCCATACATGATTAAACTCAAACTCTCACCACGCTGAGACACAATTGCAACTCACATGGATGCACAGTAATTTTCTTCCAAGTTCTTTCCCTTTTCCCTCAATCTGATTCAAATGGCACTATTTTTCTCAGAAGACTCATGTTCCACATAGCAGATGTCTAGGAGCTGGAAGGACACTTGCCAACTGAAAAGACACACACCAACTATGAGCAGGAGGAGAGTAACCCAGATCTATCACCAGCCAAGGACAGGAAGGAAAGAGGAGCAGTGAAAGTTCTAGGAAAGTGATTTTAGTCTGCTGTTGCCTCCAGTTTCAGGCTTTTCCAGCACATGGTAGGAAACAGTGAACCTGAGCCTTCAGTAAAGTTGCCACGATCAGCCTTGAAGAGCTCTCCTTGGCCCTGCATGGTATTTGGGGGTTCTTCAGGTCAACATTAGGAGCCACCTCAGACTGGGCAGAAAAAACATCTAGAATAGGTTCAGACCACCCTAATGGATTTCCCTCTTCCCTAAGATGATATATAGCCAGTTCTCTCTAACAGAGACATTAAATGCTGTAATTAATGTTTCATTTTAATTCAAGTCACAGGAATCATTAATGCTGAGGTTACACTTGGTTGGGAGAGAAACAAAAGGCGGCTTTATCAGATCAAAAGAAAATCCCATGTACTCACTCAGTGCCATGTTTCTGACAGCATCCAGTAATGTATATCTCAAAGTGAAGGTATCAATCGAGGCATAGAATGAAACTTCCTTGATATAACTGCCCAGCTTCCAGGAAAGCTGAAGCATGTTGCCTTTTTTTCCCCTCAGCAGTCCCAATGAACTTCTCCTCCATGGTTTTATATTAGGGACTTCACAATAGCCTTCTTTCCTACATGTCAAATTTACCTGTATGGCTCTGGTTGTACAGAATCCCAAAGCAGAGTCAGCTCTTGCACCTTTCTCTCCTTTTCAGACTCAACCTTCTGGTAAGACAAAGAGAGGTAACTCTCAACCCGAAACGCAACTGGGGAAAGAACCTGCTACACAGGGAGAGTAACAGAGAAAGCACCCACTGGTTATCACCATGCTGTAATAAGAACTACCTCTAGCAACCTGCAGCACCAAACTTAGACTTTATTCTTCAACTGCCCAGTGTCCAGAACTTGCAGTTCTGCATAGCAGAGGTCTCCTGCCAGTGCCCAGTCATACCTGGTATGAACAATGGCAAATTAAGGTGAAATCACTGCTATCTATCAGCTTCTGACTCCCAGTGGATGCTGCCACCTTGATTTGACCTTGCTTACTCAGGCCATGAAATGAAGAGCTTCAGAGATATGGCAGAGAATAAACATACTGTGTTTCTTTTGGAATTAAAAATAGAACAATTATCCTTAACAGTTTGCAGCAAGCCTTCATGCACATGAATGTCTGCATTATAGTATATTGTGTGTATGTACAGCTTTCGTATGTGGGGAACAGTTACCAAAGATGGACATCAAGATCTTTATTACAGCAGATTATTATTACCACAGAAGATGAGCCAGGAAAACACAAATACTGTATATTAAACCATATGGAGAAGTTATTGGTACACTGAGCTCAACCATCAAAACGCTTCTTCCACAATCACTACCCACCCACAGACCCATGAATACCCGTCATCTGTGCACAAAGTTTAACTTTGTTTTATTAACAGTGGCATGAAATCTGAATATATAAAAAAAGTGCTCTACTATATAAAGCCATGTTTGGGGATTTTTTTTTCTCCTGGTGAATTAATTTCTAATTTTGTTACTATGGAAACCATCCTGGAGCCCTCTTAAAAAACAAAAGTCTGTCTATATATTTACACACACATGGAGATAAAGAAGACAAAAGCTAGAGTGTACGTCTTCATGCAGGTTATACAGAAATGTGTAACTGGCCAAACAAAAAAAGACTTGGTATTCATTTATAGGAACACAGCTAAAACTCCTGTAGGTCTAATTACAATGTTAATTCATAAAATGATTGCCATCACTAACAGGGCCGTGAATGTGCAAAAACCTCTGGTCCTAGAAAACCAGGATCATTCTTTTCTGTTTGGGAAAGAAATAGGTACAATAATGCAGTAAGCATTTTTTTTTTCTTAGAACTGAAAAAGGGAAGTTCTGTGAATCCTGACATTATTCTAATATGTCAAATGAGAAGAAATCAGGGCTAAGTGAACATGTCTTTTTTACTCATTCTGAAGACAGTAAAAAATGAATTCAAAGATATTTCAGTCACAGCTGAGTGACAGCTAACAAATTAGACAACAGACCATGACACACAGATTCAGACCAGCAGTTCTGCAGTAAAATTTAACAGGAGACAGCTTTACCCAGGTTTATTTCTTTTCATACAGTGCTGTCATAAACATTTCATAAATAATTCTAATAGGAGTATGCAAGATTTATAAAATGTTTGGGAGGAGCAGGCTGGCACAGTCCCTACTTGTCTTTGAGCTGCTAGCTTTCTATCTTGCACACTGTTGTTTGTACTTGTAAAACTAAGTCAGCTATAATTTCAACAACCCTGAGCCTTCTGTACAAGAGATTAAAAACACTAGTGCTACTTGCTCCAGAAGAAAAAAGTATTTCAATAGTAAAGTATCTACAGAAAGCCACTTAGACATTCATTTAACTCTTTCGTATCCTAAAGGCCACAGAGTTCTCAAAAATAAAACCAAATGCATTTCATGGAAGCAAATAAACACTTCAGGCAAAGTGTTTCTGTTGAAAATAACCTGGGAGAACATTAATAAGCTTAGAAAAATCTTAACGTTGGCCATTTAGTTTCTAAGATTAGATGCAACTACTTACTTTTGTAGAGCTCTATAATTTCTGTTTTATCACCCAACTCTGTATGTGAAGACACTAGCTGGGACAGTGGGCTGTAACACCATCTGTATGCAATGGATGACACACAAGTCTGTATTCTGAGCACTGACCCAGATGGTGCAGTACATTTGCTTACCCACTGCCTGGCTAGGAGCTTTGCATGAGAACAAACTAGTTGAGGTTTAACCTAGACAAGGTCAACACAGTGTTCAGAGATTTTTTTCCAAGTTGTTCACAGATTTAGGTTTGTCCAGTTCTGGAATGTCAGATGACACTTAACAGCTTTTTTCATGGGCATTTGTAGCCCTTTCTTTCTTGGATCTGGATTTTCTCACTGTGCTATGACTGTGTCATCTGTACTGGATTACTGCCACATGTTCCACACAGAGTGTTACTTGAAGAGGATTTTGAAAATATAGCTGGGTAGAAAACGCAACCACCAAAATATTTTATCATGCTAAACTCATAGTATACACTGTACCTGTTAAAGGGAAGACTAACCTACATGCGAGCTGCCATAAGTCAAGATGTTAGCACTGATTCAACAAAGGCCTCAACAAGTTGTTTTGCTGTCTGAGGCACTCCATGTGCTAGTTATACTATCACCATAGCTGAGACACCCTGGAATTCAGTCCCTAAACTGAAATGTCTCAAGCCTGGAGGCAGCAATCTATGTGGAGCATTCTAGACTAGCATTGTCTTTGCCTGTTGGCAGATCCAAGTTCAAGAACATCATTTTCACACATCTTCTCTCTTCTTTAATGGTATTGCTGATACATTGCACTGGGCTAGCATATACCTTTTGTTGAAGGTTAGCTTTTATCTCAAAGTGTATTTAATTTCTTATTAAAGAAAATTAATAATATTAAATTATGGGAATTAAGTTTTTGTTGATTTACAAAATAGAATTATTATACAGTTGTCTATACTAGCACTTTTCATCCTTCTGAGATCAATATGCTGATACAATGGAATCTATCTTTAATTTAAACTATCTAGCATTAGCATTCAAAAACTAGACGTGATTTAGGTCAACCACTGATCTCTCTTAATGTGGTAATTCACATTTTCAAGTAGAAGCACTTCCTCATACACACTGCTAGGTTCCCTGCTGCTCATCTTCCTCATACATGAAAACGTAAGATACACTTCACACTTAATCCTGCAATGATGAACAAGTCAACCTTGATCCTGCAAAGTTCACACTTGACTTGAAGCATGTTGATTAATTTCATTAATTTCTACAAGAATACTTGCATTATCTGGATCTGAGCCAAAGCTTGAAGAGTTAATCACACTGCAGGATTCTCATAGGAAAACCAGGCAGATATTGCAAGGAAATAACCAGAATAAAGCCACATAGCCCTCAATCAGGTCACAGCTGTTTGGTCTATATCCTATCAGGCTGATGGTATTTGTTAATCAAAAATTCTACCCAGAAGATGCAATGACACAGAAGCTCTTTTTGCAAACTGATCCATGATACAGTTTTGAACCAGTGTCAGTATTCCTTAGTTGTTCAACCCATCTGAGGGATTATAATCAGAAAAGAGTACTTACCTTATACTTAACAGAAGTTTGCACAGAGGTGCTAATTAACACAACATACAGCAAAAATGAAGATAGATGTTAACAGATATAAAACAGGAATACATTTCACAATTCAAATATTAAAACAAAAGCACTGGGTGGGAAAGCAGAGGCATAACATTCTGTCACTGCAATCACAGGCAACCATATAACAGATACATAGTCCAGAAAGACAAATAGAAAATCTCCAGGTTCTCGTCACACATTGCAAGCACAAAACAGCTACAGAATCCTATCACAAAAGAGCAGAAAGCACAAACCCCTGTAACATACCACAGAAAATCCAGAGATACTGAAGACAACAGCCATGTGTTAAGTTGCAATCACAGCAGGGAATTTGATAGATAAATGCTCAAGTAAGTCTCAGAAGTATTCTGTGTCCCATGTCATTGAGAGGCACGGACACCCCAGTGGGCTACCACAGACACAGGGACAGTCTATATGACAGTGCTGCTACTACACTGTGGGACTTGGAAACAC